GAATAGATGACATTGCCCATCGCATCCGACTGCTCTCTCACCGCCTTGAATTCCTGGGTGAACTCACTGATGGTGTCGCCGAACAGGCCAGCCTGGGATATTGGGGAGTCAAGAAAGCGAACTTTGTCGACTTTGTGCATATCAGCCAGGTTTAGCCAGAGGTGGCGTTCCTGGACCACTAGTGTGGACATCGTCCTCCCCAACACACGACTTTCCGATGATCCGAATGAGCATAGTCGGTCGCGAACTCGTGTAACAAGCCTGGGTTGGTAGCGCTGGTAGGTGGCCATCGCGTGCAAGGTGGAAGCAGCCTGGCCCGCAACCTTGTAAGCTCTAGCTCTGAGGGAAGCAGATAACCTACAGGCTTTGGACGGGAGACGAGGTGGTCCTAGCCAAGAAGAGGCGCCACGCGGGCAAATATTGACCGCAATGGTGCGCTCAACCAGCGGGATCGCTTCAAAGCCCCTGGCCACTCCACCGTCAAGAGTGGTGAGGGCGGAGGGACACGCAGCACGGGCAGAGAAAGGTGCCCTCCAAGACTGCGTGAGCCTACTGTGCACTTCAGGGAAGAAGGGGACGAGCTTCGCCTTCTGGTCCTCTACATAGCACCCATCTAGTCAGTCCGGCCGCGGAGCTAGGGGATGAAGCATCTCTAACCCCACGGCCAAAGCATGGCTAACATTTCCGTATCAGGATTCGTTTTGACGGCGCTCACCTGCACGGAGCGGACAAGCGGTTCTGGATCATCGTCGGACAATGAAAGCCCACCCTCCGATGCCGCTGTGGACGTCTGATCTCCCGTGTCAGCGAGCGTGAGAGCTACCATCTGGTTGGACAGATCACTCCCCCTGCCCGAAGCTTGGATGGAGCGATTGGAGGAGCGGGAGGTCCGCGAGCCCATGGGCGGCAGATTATCTCCCACTGAAACCCTCAGATCTGCCCGAGTGCCCGCTGCAGAGCAGGGGACAGTTGGGGTGGTTAGCCCCTTTTTAAGGGCTAGCCGCGATCTTAATTGCGCAATGCTCATGGCATCACAGAGACGACATGGACCGCCCGCGAGCAGCGCATTAAGATGCTGGACCCCCAAACATGCAACGCAGTGATCGTGCCCATCATCCGGAGACAGGAAACCACCTCATCCAGAAACGCACAGTCGGAGCGCCATCCTGAAAAGGATGTGCTGCACGATTGTGTTGCTCTTTTAGGAAAATAAGCAACTTATACGCACCGCTCTGGAGGACCGGAACCAAAGAACAACTCAGGCAAGGGAGAATCCCAGCTCGACCGTCTGCCGCCGCGTGTACCCACTCTGGACCGGGAGAATTCTCATTCGCTCGAATTTGTTGTTGAAAGCAGAAGGAACCCTCATCGACTCAATCAGAAGGCTGTGAAGTCTCTGAAGCGAAAAGGATAGCGTGTGCTTGCTCCACCTATGCTTATATGCGGAGAAAATTGGCAATGAAGCACACGTGCATAAGCTTACGCTGCCAATTCATTGGCATTTTATTGGCCCGTTGTATACTCTTTCAGACAATTGGCTTTCTAAACGAAATCTCCCATTCATGGAATTATAATTAAAATCCACTAATAGCATTGGAGTTCCCCATCCGAAGGGGAACTATTATTTTGTTTGAAATGTTGGTGTGGTAAAGTGAGTTTATGGTTTGATTCATCATAAACATGATTCTTTTGAGTCAGTCTTAAATGAATGAATTTAATGAAATCCATGTATTTTTTTTTAATGAAACCCGTGCAAATGATTCACAAACTGCATAGATCTGGGTTTCGTTTCTCTAAATTGTCACACCTGCAACTTGAAGTAGGAGTGCAGTTTTCCCACCCACCGAATTAAGTGAAAGCAGCTTATTAATACATCTCCATAGTAACACATATAACCATATCCACAAGACAGGACATGCAAAGTAACCAGGATTAAAAGATTTGCTTTAAAGCCTGGTTTATACTTCTGCGTCAAGTGACCGGCGTAACTCACGGCACAGGCAACGCGCGCAGCTGTGCATTTATACTTTTGCACGCTGTCTCTGTTGGTCTGCATTAACACTTCTGAAATGCTAGTGGGCAGTGAGGTGTAAATGTTCCTCTGTGTCGAGTTTCTTCACTGGTGTTTTGCTTTTCTGAACACTTCCTGGATGTACAAGTGACTCAAACTCACTCATTTTGAGGCAGGAACCGGCGGACGTGCAACAACTTTTACCATGAGGTAAACACAGAACAAAACTTTCCATCCGGAGCTCCTTCACGGGACTCCACACTTGTAAACAATCGCTCACGCCATTCGCGCGGCTCTTTGTCTCGACCAGACTCGTCGGCGCTACCAAGCCGACCAATCACAGAGCTTGCGCTACGCGTTGTTGCGACAAGTAGTAGCATTTTTTGAGAGGTCCACGTCAGCGACGCCGACGGCCACGGCAAAGGACTATGCGTCAGCGCCATAGCATACGTCGGCGTTTGACGCAGAAGTATAAATCAGCCTTAAGTCTGTAATCAGCTGCACCTTAGGAAAGAGTTTCACAAGTTTAAAACATTTTTAATGCAGTGCATGTGTAACCGGTCTGCTTTCATTACTGGCCTCTGCGTTGTGTGTAAGGAAGACAAGGACACGCGCTACTTCATTCACTGGAGAAGGTTTATTCAAGCCCAACATGGACTGGCCACCATAGCTCTGTGGATTGACATCAAACAGTAGCTAAATCTCTTGTGGGTCATATAACAGCAGTATATTCCTGTATAACATAATGTCTATTAAATCACAGATTTACACTAATACAAAATGTATCACATCCACACGATACAACTACACATTCCTGATTCATCCACACTTAAATCATACAACAGAACATTGCAATACATCTAAACAGTACAAACAGCATTAAATGGAAACATTTTATACACTTTAGATACTTAATTTACTCAGAAAACGAGGAGCTCAGCAAAACACCTGCCTCTCCCCAGCCAGTGCAAAGTAAACTGGCGAGAGGCGCTCGAGTAATCTAAAATGGCGTCGACGCGCTGCCGAAATCAAAATTCTAAATAAAAGTCTCAATACTAAATTCACATATATTGGATAGAAAATGTCAAAATAAAATCAATAAAACATTGAAAAAGATTTTAATGAAAAAGACAATATTACAGGTGATATTATAACCCGTTACACATGTTTGTAATAAAATCAGTAAAATCTCTGTGCAATTCATCCCCACAGCCACATGTCAGTACAATTATGAAAGAAGACGCTTCAATTCCAGTTTTTGTATGCTGAATTAGGTATATTTTGTATCTATGTATAATTGTACATTTTTAATATCCATACAGCAGTGTATATTAACATTTAGTTAGTTAATGTAGTTAATTTAAGTGCAGTTTAATTTTTTACTGCTGAAAGTCCAAACACTAAGCAATCCATCGATGTGCAAATCCACAAGTCCCAAACCAAGCAAGCCAGTGGTGAATGTGACGAGGAACAAATTTCACCAACTGATAAAAGTGAAGGGAAAAACCTTGACAGAAGCCAGGCTCAGTTAGGCACGACAATTTCTCCTCTGGCCAAACTTCCTGTGCAAAGCTGCAGTCTAGTTTTTTCATCCTTATTATTGCAAAAGTGGATTTGGACAAGACCTTATTGCTTTTGCACCATCCGCTGTAGACAAAAGGACAATCAACGTATCAAACTTTCCAGAATAGAGCTGAAGGATAAAATCACATGTGATTGTCATGCATAATGGTATGTGCAGTTGTCTATAAACCTGGCTCTGTAATAAGCTGTGAATCTGTAGCAGCATTTGCTGCAGCATTTACAACACAAAGCCATAGTTCTCTGCCAAACTATGCAAAATATTGCATTTGAAATCATCATGCAATGGTCAAACATGCTAAACCAATTGCAAAAAAAACATTTGACAGCAGTTTGTGTCTTTTTTGTGAAACACGGCTCTTTGTAGTAAATGTTGCTAATGTTAAACCTGAAAGCATGTGCCAACACCACATAGGACATTTTTACTCAAAACTTGCTTCATAGCTTCAGTTGAATGTTTGAATGAAGTCCTTCTGTGAAATGGTGTGACTTCTTTCATAATTCAGTATTATAATAAGCAGTGACAAAGATGCTGTATCATTACATACTTTATAATCAACAAAATAATAAAAAAAATCTCAGATAAACCATATGTTGTTGTGGTCAGTTGTTTATTAATCCAGTTGAATCAAATGAAAGCAGTTTAATCTTCTGTTTACCCTACAAATTTTAAAAGAATTCCCAAAGACTGGTATTTGTTTAGGTTTTATAGGGGCTTATTTAGTCTGCATTCCATTCCAATTATTTATACCTTTCACTCACTAACTTCTCTCCATCTTGTTCTCTCAGATGTACATCATTAATTTTGTCACACAAATGTCCACTTCTGGTAGAGAATCTGAATGGGTTTAAATGGAGTGCCCTAAACCTTGAGCACTTGGGAACTACACTGTTATGATGGCACAATCACGTTGCATTCTGGGACAAATAGGTGTTGGAGTGGATATATGAAGCTGATCAGCACACTCCCTCTGTCAAAATCAAGGGTATATCTATGTAAACATAACTTTTTCACTTAATGAAGTGAAATGTATATTAAAATGGTGTTGGGGACTCCTCCAAGGGAACAAGTGAAGGGAAATTTGCGATTGCATGTCTAAAAGTGGAGTGGAATGCAGCCTAGGTTGTTCTGTGTGACTCTACTGATCATATGATCATATTTTCCTCCCATTGTGTCCAAGGCCATTTCTTTTGCTAAATCACAAATGCAATTTTATGTAGATATAACATTCATATCAAATCCAGAACATGGAACAACAATCATAACTCATAATAATAAATAATATGTTAAGGGAACTTTTATACTTTTAATTAAATTGCACAAGGTATCTGGGTAATTGGATGGCCAATAATGTTTTGAACTTACATAACATGTTGATAATAAACCATTTTGTTTTGTTTTTTGCAGATCCCATCATAACATCACACCATTGACTCCAGGTCCTCCAAAGCTCCACCTTCTGAACACAGAAAGAACATTTTTTAATCAAAAAAACATCAAGAAATGGACATATGGACCGAGAGACAAAAACAAACAGAACAAGGTTATACTGATGTTGGGGGACACCGGAGCTGGGAAAACAACACTCATCAACACCATGATCAATCACTTACTGGGGGTGAAGTTTGAGGACCAAGAGTTTTATCAAATCACTGAAGAAACTGATGAACTTTTACAGACCTCTGAGATCACAGTTTATGAGGTGTTTGTTGAAGAAAACCCAACATCTCTGACCATCATCGACACTCCAGGTTATGCACACACTGAAGGATACAAAAAAGACAAAGAAGTTGCTGAATACCTAGCTAAATTATTTGCAGATGAGGATGGGATTCACTATATTGACGCAGTGTGTTTTGTGATGAAGGCATCTCAGAATCGACTCTCTGGAAAAGAGTTTTACATCTTTCACTCAGTTCTGTCTCTGTTTGGTAGAGATATCGAGAACAACATAGTGTTTCTGCTCACTCATTCAGATGGAGGACCACCAGCAGATGCTCTTAATGCCATTGATAAAGCAGAAATACCCTGCAGAAGAGATGAAGACAATGAACCTGTTCACTTCTTATTCAACAACAGACAGAAAGAGAAGAGAGACAAACAGTATGAGCAAAAGTTTAAAGCATCCTGGGAAATGGGGGAGAGAAGCATGAATGAGTTCTTCACACTACTGGAAGAAAAGAACAGAAAAAGTGTTCAGATGACATTAGATGTTCTGCAGGAGCGAACACGACTGGAGGCCTGTGTCTGTAATCTGAAGGATCGAATCACTGAGAACGAGCTAAAAATAAAAGAACTGAGTGAGATTCAGGAAGCCCTCAGACAGAACAGAGACAAGATCAAAAACTGTGAAAACTTTGTTATTACAGGGGAGAAATGTGTCAAAGAAAAAGTCCTCATTGAAAATGAGTGGTGGTGGAACAGCAATGTGACCTGCTGCACTGTCTGTGAGGAAAACTGCCATGAATGGGGCTGCTGGTGGGTGAATGATCTCTCATGGTGTTCAGCCATGAGAAACAACTACTGCACTATGTGCACAGGAAAGTGTCATTACAGCAAACACATCAAGGAGAACAAAAAATATAAGATGACCACAAAAACATCTGAAAAGTCATTTGTTGACTTTCAACAGGAGTATGAATCCACTGGTACAAAAAGTGATGACAAAACATATGAAACCATTAAAACGGAGCATGACAATTTTGTGAAAGAGTCTGAAAGTATAACAAAAATAGAAGAAAAAGTTAAACGTGATCTGGAAAAGATAAAAAATGAAAAGTCAAACATGCTGGTTGAAACTTATCAGAGCATCATGATTCTGTCAAAGATAGCATTAAAAGCAGACAGCGCTTTCACTCTTCAGCATCTGGATTTCCTGATTCCCAGACTGAAGGAGGAAAAGGAAAATGAGGAATGGGTGAAGAACCTGGAGGATCTGAAGAAAGCTGCAAATGAACTGAAAAACGCGAGTGCTTTACAATATCTATCCGACTTTCATGATTCATTAATTCAACTATAGGAGTAAATCGCACATTTTCTTTTAAGACAAGAACACAAGACAAATCACAAGACAAAAACATAAGAAGAGCTGCTGATTAATAAGGGAGTAAAGTCAACCGCTCAAACAAATGACTGTACATAATAAAATTACTTTATACAGTATATACTTTTAGACACATTTAGTAATTTAGTAGTATTGGTGGGATATGAATGATTGACAGTCATTAAGGATGGATTTTACTTAGCAGGAATTTTGACCTGCAATAAATCATTGAAACATTCTAATCTGAAGCAAGGATCTGCAAGAATGGCACAAACGTTTTGTTTTCACCCCCAAACCCAGGTGTTTGATCCTTGATGACATTAGAAAAAGTCCAACAGGGACCTTCGGTGTACATCTTTCAAGAATGGCTGCATATTTCATCAGCTCGGCCAATTTGCACAAAATCTCCAACCCAGATCTAGACATTGACAACATTTAAGTGTTGATAGAGTTATGTCTATGGCAACTATAGAGACAAGGGGAAAAAAGAAGAATCTAAAAAAACATAAAAACAACCCAAATATACTTGAACAAAGCAGAATGAGCGACGATGGTTTTTCACTGATTGAATGCATTAAGTGACTGACCTGGAGAAAAACAGGCAGGAAGCACTGTACACCTGTGGATGGGTCACACTGAAAATTCCTATTCAAGCAAGAGATAAAAAGTGGGATTCATGTAATTCTTAAAAATTGGATTGACATCTTTAAAATTTGTAATCTAAAGGACTAAAGATGAAAGTATTAAAATGGGCTCCTTATAATTATTATCTTGAGCCAAATACTTCAGTTATGTGTTTTAAAATATAGTGTAAAAATATAGGATTACATCTCTGCTCAAATATGGTCCAATTACTTTTATTCTGTAAAAGAAAGTTTAATTTAGATGTCGAGAATTCCTTCAGAGATCTTCAGCTCCGTCAATATTTATGCGAAAATCAAAAAAGACACCGATAGAGATACAAATAAGAGAGCGCTCTGGTTACTAAAGTAACCCTCGTTCCCCGAGGAGGGTAGTGGTCCGAAGAGCATAGTCGGATGCAGTGAGAAAGCCTATAAGCCTGGGTTAGACCCACCCTCGTGCAGCTCGGCCAGCGCCTGCGCTTGGTAGCGCTGGTAGGTGGCCATCACGTGCAAGGCGGAAGCAGCCTGGCCCGCAGCCTTGTAAGCTCTAGCTCCGAGGGAGGCAGATAACTTACAGGCTTTGGACGGGAGACGAGGCGGACCCCGCCAAGAAGAGGCACCATGCGGACAAAGATTGACCGCAATCGTGCGCTCAACCTGAGGAATCGCTTCATAGCCCCTGGCTGCTCCACCATCAAGAGTGGTTAGGGCGGAGGGACATGCAGTACGAGCAGAAAAAAGTGCCCTCCAAGACTGCGTGAGCCTACTGTACACCTCTGGGAAGAAGAGGACGAGAGGCATTGGAGGCTTTGCCCTCTGGTCCTCTACGTAGCACCCATCTAGTCAGTCCAACTGTGGAGCTGGGCGATAAACCATCTCCAACCCATGGCCGAAGCAGTCTAGGAAAGCATGGCTAACATGTCCGTTTCAGGATCCATTTTGACAGCGCTCACCTGCCCGGAGGGGGCGAGCGGGTCTGGATCATCATCGGACAATGAAAGCCCACCCTCCAATGCCGCGGTGGACGTCTGGTCTCCGGTGTCATCGAGCGTAAGGGCTACCATCTGTTAGACGGATCAATTTCCCCGCCTGAAGCTTGGATGGAGCGCTTGGAGAAGCGGGAGGTCCGCGGGCCCGTGGGTGACGGATTATCACTCGCTGAAACCCTCAGATCTGCCCGAGTGCCCGCTGCAGAGCAGAGGACAACTGGGGTGGTTCGCCCTTTTGCAAAGGCTAGCCGCGATCTTTACTGCGCAACAGTCATGGCGTGCCCATCATTCGAGGACAAGAAACCACAGCATCCAGAAACGCACAGTCGGAGCGCCGTCCTGAAAAATACGTGCTGCACGACTGTGTTGCTCTTTCTGTGAAGTTTGCAACTTTATACGCACCGCTCTGGAGGACCGGACCCAAAGAACGCCAGGCAAGGGAGAAACCCAGCTCGACCGTCTGCCGCTGTGTGTACACACTCTGGACCGGGAGAATGCTCTCGTTCGCTCGGAATCGCTGGATCACAGCAGGAGGAACCCTCATCGACTCTCTCAGAAGGCTGTAATTGTCTCTGAAGCGAAAAGGATAGCGTGTGCTTGCTCCACCTGTGCTTATATGCGGAGATAATTGGCAATGAAGCACACGTACGCAAGCTTACGCTGCCAATTCATTAGCATTTCATTGGCCCGTTCCATATTCTTTCAGACAATTGGCTTTCTGAACCAAAACCTCCAATTCGTGAATTTATAGTTAAAACCCACCAATAGCATTGAAGTTCCCCATCCGAAGGGTTGTAGTTCCTCCTCAGCCAAACTGATGTCATGAACAATATCTAAAATACATACAGCACTGATGGATTTACATTTACTATATTATGCCAATGGTTCTTTGGTTAAAGAACAAAACAAATATATGTACAGAATAATTCATGCTTCAAGTAAAAAAAGGTTACTAGTTGGTATAACCCTAAACCACCACAAACAGAGATTGAATTGAAAAAAAAAAAAAATATCTAAAAATAAATTGTATTAAAGTTACATTGTGTGAATTATATTATTTAGAGACATATCTGTTCACTTGTGGTCCAAATGTATGGAGTATTTAAATGCTATTCAACCTAATATGTTTCTTTTGTAAAACCTTAAGATTTATACCCGATTATAAATGTTATGTCTGCTTTACTTGTTTTCTGTAAATTTGGTATAGATGGAAGATGGTGTAAAAGCATATATTACTTTGTTATTGTCATGAGGAATTGTGCAGTTTTTTCTTTCCCTGATTATGGAATTAAATTGGGAGATACTGTAAATTTGATAAATACCAAACAGATGTTTTGAATTCATAATTTCTGTATTGTCTTCTTATTCATTAAGTTTTGATTATTTCTGGATTCTCCTGAAATCATGATGTTTATCAGAAAGCTGGTGTTACCACTATACTTTTAATTAGGATAGCCAAACTAAAGATTTGTGTTTCTTGTTTTATTGAATCATTTATTGGTAACAATTGAACATGCGTATCTAAAACGTCATGAAAGTCAATAAACATGTATACTTCAATCATGGCATGAAACCATGAGTGTGAAAAAAAAAACTGTATGCATGCTTATAAAAAAGTAATTATATAAATGGTATTTTTCAAATGTTTTTATAAAATATAAATTCTATACAGTTAAAAAACGCTTTAAATCAAAAATGTTAGAATCATACTTCAAGTTTTTTGGCTTAATTTTCCACTACAGTTTAGTACCTGCGTGGGTGCTGTTGCTACATTACCACTGATTTTATTCCCTCATCAGGATAATTGCCTCTCTGGCTCCACCGCTAACTGTACTACAAATAAAAATAAAAAATACTAATGTTTTGCTTCTTATGCTGTGTTCACACCAGATGTGGAACGCTCGGATAAATCACGATATTCGTGCGTAAATTGCCACGTGAACATTTGAGTTTACTCGCTTCATTTGCGTGTCAAATCTACTTCATTCGTGTGTCATCTTCACTTCAGAACAGACGTGGATTCGCGTGATGGGCAGGGCTTCTGTCTGCCCGGTGACTCTAGCTTGGTTGCTAAATGGCTAACATGTATTTTATGAAGAAAATAACAGTGTTTTTGTGTTTTATGAAGGCTGAAAAACAGCGTCGATACGTTTAGGGTCGTGTCTGAGTGCACTAGATTCTTTCAGAGGTGCAGCAGCTCTGTGAGCTCATAAACTCCTCCAGAAACTGAACCCGGATGACGGAGGCTTTCAGCGGTGCTTCTGACTGAGCCCAGCCTAGTTTGATGACTTACTGTCAGTGTCGCCTGGAGGATTTCCCCTGGGACTCCAACAACAGGTTCTACGTCACAATCACGCCCCCACAAGAGCAAGCTTCTAATTGGTTAATGTGGCTCGAATGTCCGCTGAAGTTCAGATATTCGATCTCAATTGATTCACACGAAACGCGTTAAAACGCTCAATTCGCGCCACGCCATTCGCGTCATTCACGCAGCGCTGTTAACCTTTCCTGCTCTGTCCCTTTGCTGTATTAGAAATAGCAAGGGAGATTCACTTATAACTCCAGGGCCGAATAATATTAGTTTCAGGGTTAACTCCCTCCTCCTTTCGTTGCAGCCGGTGAATAAATGAGGACACATTTAACTTGGTCCAATTATTTATTACTATCTGTGTGGTACAACTAAATCAGACCATAAAAAGGGAACATCAGTGAACAACTGTCTCATTACGAAAAACTGCTCCTCTCTCCCTCTCTCTCCCTCCGCTTCACACACCCAAACACAAACTGCAGCCCCGCCCCTTAAAGGACTCGTACATTTTACAACAGCGCCATTCGCGTGTATTGCGCCGCAGGATGTCTATTCGCGCGTTTGCATTGACTTAACATGTAAATCACTAGCGGTTGTCGCGCGTTCCGCCTCTGGTGTGAATGCAGCATTCCACTTTACAGACCTGAAACGTACCTACAGCACTTATTCATTGTTGCTCTTATAGTTGTGTAAGTTGCTTCCTTGTCCTCATTTGTAAGTCGCTTTGAATAAAAGCGTCTGCTAAATGACTAAATGTAAATGAGATTCCACAATATTCACTTTAAAGGGCCATGAAACCCCCTTGTTTCAGCAGGGTGTTTTCACACCTCTACTTTGGAGAAAGTCAGAAAAGTGGGCGTGTCCAGCTCTGTTTAGGGGGAGAGTCGAAGGAACTAAAGTGGGAGGGTGGGGTAGTGTCTATTTGGGCACGCGCGAGTTTCAGAGTCAAAATACACAGACAGGAGAAAGTGATGGTGTTTACATGGACATCTGTAGTCAAATTATTTGCCAAATTATTAAATGGTGGACTTTAACTGCAGTTTGGCTCTTTCATTCAGGGAATTCATTCATGTCCCTCGCGACAAACGAGATATTTGATTCGAGGATCTGCTCTAAGCGTGTATTTTTCATGCAATGTTTGATACCGCACGGCGAATGAGAGAAAAAAACCCTCCGCATTTCCCGGAAACTTAGATGCACACGGCAGGTAGTGTCAGAAAGCCGCGTGTGTTATTCCGGTCACAAAATGCGGTAAAAACCCTACACGAGGTTAAAGTTTGGTTGTGGTGCTAACATGTTTACACTCAGTGCAATAGTTAGTTCGATACGAACAAACTGAATAAACAAAGAGCACTGGTCGCTCACTTACCAAATCTGTAGAGACAGGACAATCACCAGCAACTAGAGCCGCGTCTTTATTAAGAGGAGACGACAAGCGAATCCGGATCTCAGCGTTTGCAGATGAGAACAGCTCTCAGGTAAACAATAATCCTCCTTAGACACGTAAGTTATTGTTGTCGAGCGTCGCGTACACTGTTAATCCACACGTGACTCCAGCTGAGCTCTCACAGAGAGAAAATGAAAACAAAACTTAACGGCAGCAAACTTTAAAAGCAACACTTCACGCTTGTTTTGCCAACACAACGTGGCATCTCTGTGGTGTAAACACGGTGACACTAATGAATATTAATGAAGTTGCACAATAGAGCGCGCTGATTGGTTTGAACCAAGCCTTACACATGCATTAATGTATCACACTGTAAGACGTAATAAGACACACTCTGGCACAGACGTCCAGTCTGCACGCTGGAATACACGCTATTATGTCATGACCGTGACGCAGCTTCAAAAATTCATTTCAAACCGGAAGTACGAATTTGCTTGAATTAACGCAAAAACAACCAATTTACACTTTTTAGTGAAATATAGGTGTCCTAATAGTGTTTTTAGCAGTGGTGTTTCATGACCCTTTAAAATGAATTTAAAATGGAAAGGTTAAACCACCAGAATAATTACCACAATTACTGAAAATGACTTTGTCCTCCACTGATTTAGTGTTACTTGAGTATATTTCTTGAGGAAAGTATTCTTTAAGGAATGACAAATAATAAAAATAAAGCCTTTGAGTAATGTCTCAAATACATCAAACATTAATTAAAAAACATGACAATGAAAACATTTATACAACTGCTTATGAAAAAAAATGGACTGATGAGTTAAACAGTGCAAAATCATAACATAAACCGTACTCATCAACAATGATTATTATGGTGCAGTAATTTACTTTTTTCTTAAGTAGACAACCCTCTAAACAAATAAAGTGAAACAACCTTAAAGTAGTGTTTCTGCTTCAGTCCTCATCTAATTAATTGCATATGTAATATTCAAGAAGGATTTTTAAAATAAGTGATTTATTATCACTTTAGTTTAGGTCTTCTACTAAAAATCTATTACCCTCTATGATGGCAAAGTGCCCTGTGGCCAAAGTATGGCCACAGGCTTCCTCCACCTGTGGCTATAAATTGGCTCTTGGCTCCTTGAACATTGTATTAGATCCTCAGTGATTTTCATATTTTATTGATTAAGAACCTTTTTTTTTTTGGCATAATTTCAAATGAAAACCCCTGTTGTGCACGCTAGGAATTGCACAGTGATATGGTGTAGTGATAAGGAAACTAGAACGTTTTTCAATCTTGGACCCAAACTGTGAGCAATATCCACTGTGTTGCTCATTCAAACTGATCAAGTCATTTGGTTACTTATTTTAACAAATACACATACATCACTATTTTGAAAGACACTGTATACTGTATAACTGCATGTTGCTGTTTTTATACTGTGTAACTTATACACAGCCTAACAGTGTTAATTTTGACAGCAAATTCTGATTTAGTCTTAGTCTTTGGAATAATACACCATTTAGTTTTAGTCCTATTTTAGTCATCTGAAATCTTTTAGTCTTAGTCTAGTTTAGTTGACTAAATATTATAAGAGTTTTAGTCTTAGTTTAGTCTTAAGTCTATTAGTCTTAGTCTAGTTTTAGTAGACCAAATATTAGCAGATTTTTCTCCATAATTCATGTAATTGTAAGTATAATACAATATATGGAAGCATATATAGAATACAGGCACATATCTAATTGTTGTAATAAAAAACATTTTATTACATGTCAAAAACATGAGTCTTTTTCACAAAAAAATAACCACAAGAGCTGCTCTCCCTGAACAATATACATGCTCCCTGAAAAAGATATGCATTGTCTCTAAATTATATGAAACGCATATGACATTCTTTTAAGATAAAGTACAGCATTATTGAAATAGTAAACCAATGAACTTACTGTCTTTTACAGTCTTTGCAAAATCAAAAGCATAAAGAAATATAAAGTGCAATTCTCAAAAATTAAAATAACTGGTTGTAATGCCACATCACAAGGTATCTAAATACAAAAAATAAACACTACTGTAAATTTCCATGTACCTCAAGAGAAGTTAAATAACTTCTAAGACACAATGCCTTGCTACTCTGTAAAATCAACAAGATTTTGAACAGAACAAATTAGTGCAATTCTTAAATGTAGAACAAAAGATGTATTGACTGCAATGCCACACAATGCCAAAGAAATAGTCCTTAAAGTTCAAGTAAATAAAAACTCCTCTCTGCTCTCTCAGCAGTGAAAATCCAGGTAAATCACATTAAACAAACAAACAAACAAATAACAAAAACATACAACTATGTAAGCATCATTTTCTTCATTAGCGGTTACCGTCCTGTGTAAATTGTATACTACTACAGGAAATGTTGCAATAGTGAATACAATATTTCTATTTGTTTCTGTTCATCTTAAGGAAAGCACTTCGCTCCAATGTGACCCTTCCTCTGTTGCGCCGTCCTCTTGTGAGGTCACCTGTGATGCTAAATACCCTCTCTGCAAAAGCTTGAGAAGCGGGCATAGCTAACAAGTCTAATGCAAAAGGTTTTAAACTGTGGTAAACACTGTCACTCTTTCCCAGCCAGAAGTCTGTTCCTGTGTCCTCAGTGATGGGATGGGAGAGTTCCTCCTTGTACTTGATGATCTGCTGCCTGATGCTGCTTGTGGAGGTTTTCTGTTTAGGCCTTGTGGTGCGGCATTTTGAGAGAAACCTAAACACCGGCTGCTTTGAGGATGGCGCTGCTTCTGGTTCCTCAATAACCTCCTCTTCATCATTTTCAGACTGGCCCTCCTGTTTTGTGCATTTGACTACATAGTCTTCTGCCTGCTTTAGCAGTTCCTGGATATTTCCATTAGCCACATCAACGTTAACAATGATTTCACAGACAGTTGGGTTAAGAAAGCAGGCAGCTGCTGCAAGTGGTGAAAACTTTTCATCAGTTGTATCCAAGATGCAAGCAAAACGCTGGTTCAGATTTGATCTCATCTTGTCTGCAAGAGTAGCGAGGTCTCTGTACCGAGTGTTCACTGCAAAGTCAGTTAGGTGGGTCAGCAGATCAAAGAGGGCAGGAACCACTAGAGACATAGATGTGGTGTCACTCTGAAGAGTTTTAGTGTGTTCTGCAAAAGGCAGCAATAGGTCATGTAATGAGGAAAGCTTTTGCCACTCACTAGTAAGCAAACTGTCCCATCCCATGTCATTTGAGATTTGACAGACTGCATCTTTGACTTTGAGGAGTCGTGTGATCATGTTAAATGTGCTTGACCAGCGTGTGGGGCAGTCATTTACAACAATAACACCACATTGGTCCAATAACTTTTGTGTTGCAACTGAGGACTTGCGAAAGAGCTTCACCACAGACCTAGCTTTATTGAGAACTCTTTTGACAGTTGTTTCTTTCTGCAACATGTGGACCACCAGTTGTATGGTATGCACAACACATGGTGTCCGGTCCAATTCCATGTCGACATGACGATACCTAACAATAAAAAAAAAGAGAATCAAATAAGTCTAAACCTAATAAAGTGGCTGCTGTGTATATGTGTATACTGTATATATCTAGTGTGTGGCAGGAAGTAATAATTTATGTGATGATTGACTCTCAGGAAAAAGAATAAAGTAAATATGGCTTACCGCTGGTCATCAATTTCAGAGTCACTTTCGATCGTGGACCCAGGGGAGTCGTCCTCAGAGCTGGTTTCTTCTGCTGTGGTGTTTTTAAAGGCTGCCACCATGTTACTCCCATTGTCCGTTATTACCGTCAGGATCTTCTCCTTTGGTATGGTCCACTCTTGCATGCATTTGTCCACACATGCCTTAATAGCCTGTGCAGTGTGTGGGTGACCTACTTGTTGAAGGGCCAACAATATGTGTGCAGGTTTACTTTTTTCAACACAAAAGTAGCATGCACTTATAGCAAGGAATGAGACTGTCAATCCTTTTTTTGTCCACAAGTCAAGGCCAATGGATACTTTCCGGGCAGTAGCCTGACTCTCTCTGAACTTCTGTCTTTCATGTTCATACTGTGTTTCAATTAAATTGCTAATTTTAGTTTTCTTTGGAACTGTTAGTCTCCCATCTATCATCCCCATCATTAGCACAAAGTCCTCATTCTCAATTGTTGTGAGTGGTAAACCTGTCCGTCCAATCCATCTAGCTATGGCCTGCTCCTTGGTCTGTTGTTCCTTTGATTCAGTCTTGTACTTTGAAGACCTTAGGAAATCTGAGATGGCCTGCTGCTGTGTTGTACTAGTAGCATCACTAGCTTTATTTCCACCTGGCCCATGGTCATCAGACATCTTCTGTATCTATGAGGATATATAAATGATATACAAAGTTGTGATATTTTCTTCTTTCTTGCCATATAACACACACACACACACACACACCTTTTGTCAAGTCATATATAACACCACAACATCTATTATAATAGTACACATATTTATATTAATTAATTCAGCGAGACAATTCGTTTAATCAATACTATTCAAAGTTAATTTCCTTTTGCTTCAATTTTATTTCAAGTTTAGCAGAATCACGGTGGTTTATCTTATAGGATAACCTTAACGTTAGCGTTTATGCTTACCTTGGTGTGGATTTCTGGATGAGCCGTCTGTAAATGTCGCTTCAAGTTGGTGGTGTTTTTTCCAGCGATTTTTACTCCACATGGTTTACAGACGCTCTTGTTGTCCTTGTTGTCATATGTGAAGTTTGACCAGATGTCAATTCTTCGTTTTCGTCCTAGACCAAGCTCTGACATTTCTGTCTGTCTGTTTATGAGACGCTGCCCTCGGACCGAGTGAACAAAACTTTAGCGTGTTGCTAACGAGAAAAGTCAACTTAAATTAACCAACGCTTTGTAACCAAGTATAATGTGTAACTAAATATAATGTATAACAAACGTCATCATAACTTGAAAACCGCGGCTTTTGTTTTGAAAATGGCTTTGCCAAGATCAACCTGCCCTCAAAAGATTCGCTCTGATTGGATTTCCCCACAAAAGGGTAGTTCTTATTGGATCTCTTCTGCATTCGTCCCGCCCCAACATTTTCCTCTCGTTTTTATTCGTTGACTAAAGTGTCAGTTAAATTTCGTCATCGTCTTCGTCATCGTATCTGACTTTTTATTTAGTTTTTATTTAGTTTTCGTCTTTAAAAAATGTTTGTTGACGAATATTTTTCATCATAGTCTTCGTCAACGAAATTAACACTGCAGCCTAACTTCTCATTTTTTCTCATTTTGACTTATGTAGTAAAAATCAGGATCAGAAAGAGGTTTATTGCCAGTCATTTCATGACAGAGCTTCTACAGTTCAATAGAATTACAGGACAAAAAAAAAAAAAAAAAAAAAAACAGTTAATAAATATATTTTAAAAATAAAAGTGGGGGGGGGGGGGTGGAACCCTAACAACAAATCGCATTGACATCAATCGAGCTTCCACTGTCCCTATAGCCCTTTCCCACTTTCTTCAATCGCTACACCTCCCCAAATTAGATGAAGCAGATCAAGATGCCTCAACGCAGGGATAACGGTAGATGAAATATTTGAAGCTATTGCATCTTTCTCTTGCAGTAAGCCTGTCGGACCTGACGGCTTTGGAATTGAATCTTATAAGAATTTTTTTTTTTATTTGCCCTTTGATGCTGAGATTATTTAATTGTTTTATTGACAATCAGGATTTTCCACAGTCAATGTATATCACAAATATTTTCTAATTCTTAAAAAAGGAAAATATAAAACATCAACATTATATCGCCCCATAGCCCTTCTAAATTCAGATCTGAAAAATTTTACTAAGACCCTTGCAAACAGATTAAATAAATGTATAGCTAAAATTATTCATCCTGATCAGACCAGTTTCATTCCTGGGTGCTTTTCTTTCTTTAATCTAAGACGCTTACAGAATATTTTATACTCAAGACCCAATTCTGCTTCAAATGTCTCCATCTTATTCCTGGACGCCGAAAAGGCGTTTGACCAAATTGAATGGATCTATATTATTGCAGTGCTTATTGCAGAAGTTTGATCTAGGAGAATCATTCTCTTGCTGGATGAAAATGCATTATGCCAAACCTAGGGCTTTGGTGCTCACTCATTTTGTTAAATCTTCAAAGTTCCCATTGCATAGCAAAAGAGTCTGGCTACAGATTTGCACTTGCACCTCCAAGCTTGCATGCTCAGACTTGCACGCTCAGGCAACCCAGCTTCCTCTGCAAGTGACATAATTTACAGTCACCACCTGTGTCCGCTTGCATGAAAGTCCTTCTGTAAGTTAACTTAAGGGTGTCCCTGAGGTGGAAAAATCTCTGAGGTAACGGATTTCATTAAGACTGTTGAAAAAAACTTCTTATCTGTCACCCTTCCTCAAGTGCCTTTTTTTCTAAGCGTTTCACTTTGCTTTCTGGCAACATACGGCGACAGGTGCCACAGTTGCTATAGTTAGATAAACAAATCGTAACAAACCACAAATGCTTGCCTTACAACAGCTCTGCAGTAATGTTACACATCATCTGTGTCGCTTTCTTTCTGTTAAGCGTGTTGATTTCACTTTGCTGGTATAAATCTTAATAGTAGCCTGCTTAGGTAAATTTACATCAAAGCATATAATCATGAATATACTAATTGCTTTTCGGGGGGTGGGGGAAGAGGGGGTCTGTCATGTTGTACAACGTAAGTAGGCTACTTGGAATTATTTGACAACGTTGTCACTGGCAACGTAAACAAACTGGAAACTTACTTTTATGTTGATTTCAAGTGATGTAACAGGAGCAGGTGTCTGCAGCGTGGGTGTCTGAGCGTGCAAGCCCGAGTTTGCAAGCCTAAAGATGCAAGTTCAACTCTGCAGCAAGATCACTAGGCACTAGACAGGGGTGCCCACTCTCACCTCTGCTTTCCCATTGCGACTGCTATTAGAAACAACCCACTTATTTTTTCACCTAAAAAAGGCCAATTAGACTATCACATATCCCTCTAAGCTGACGACATCATCCTCTACCTACTCGATGCAGAACAATCCATCCCTCCCCTGTTAAATTTATTGAAGATTTTTGCAAAGTTCTCTGGTTACTCTGAATTGTCAAAAGAGTGAACTCATGCTTGTGCCTGTTAACCCAAGCTTTTTACAGAACCTACCTTTTAAAACTGCAGCAGACATTTTGAAATACGTTGTTGTCATCATACCAAAAAATTCAAATGATATCTACAAATTTAATTTTTTAGCTACAGTGGGGATCGAAAGTTTGGGCACCCCAGATAAATATTTGTATTAATATGCATAAAGAAGCCAAGGAAAGATGGATAAATATCCAAAAGGCATCAAATTACAGAGTAGACATTCTTTTAATATGTCAAAAAAAGTTAGCTTTAATTTCCATCATTTACACTTTCAAAATAACAGAAAACAAAAAAAGGCGTCTGCAAAAGTTTGGGCACCCTGCAGAGTTAATATCTTGTACTGCCCCTTTTGGAAAGCTGAGACCTGACAGTGTCATAGATTGTTCTCAATCATCGACTGGAAAGACCAGGTGATGTCAATCTCAAAGGTTTTAAATGCCCAGACTCATAACTCAGACTGACCCTACCCCAACAATCAGCACCATGGGTTCTTCTAAGCAGTTGTCTAGAAAACTGAAACTGAAAATAGCTGATGCTCACAAAGCAGGAGAAGGCTATAAGAAGATAGCAAGATCAGATTCAGGCCGTACTCACACTATGTACAGTTGCCTCGAACCCGCACCCGCATTACAATCAGGCTCAGGCACGCTTACGTCATCGATGCTGCACTGGTGGTCAGAAATGCTCTCGCTCAGCACAGTGGGGATTTCTCCAGTTATATTGTTTGAGATGCAGTAACACGCAGTCAGATTTGTCGCCGAACAGATCCGCCACTTTTAACGCTCATAAACAATCATAAAGTTCTCGTGCTGCAGGAATGAGGTTTGCTGAAGGTGCAGCTTTCATGCAGTGAGGAGTTTGTGTCTTTAATGAACTACGGCAGTTTGCGTTCACTGAACAGTAAGAATGATTAATAAATCCATATGAAACAGTCCCTTAAAAGTTATGTCTCGCTTTCAGTTTCGGGCTTTGGCACGTTTGAGCCCGATTCAGCGCACTCACACCTCTCAAACGATCCGGGAAACGGGCCTGGGCACGGTTCGGACAGCATAGTGTGAGTAGGCCTTCAAATGCCAATATCATCTGTTCAGAATGTAATTAAGAAATTGCAGTCATCAGGAACAGTTGAAGTTAAAGCAAGATCTGGAAGACCAAGAGAAATATCAGCCAGAATACCTTGCAGGATTGTGAGAAAAGCAAGTCAAAACCCACGTTTGACTGCACGATCCCTCCAGAAAGATCTGGCAGACACTGGAACTGTGGTACACTATTCCACTATGAAGACATACTTGTACTAAATGTGTCCTCATCACAAAAATCAGCATTTGAACTTTGCAAATGAGCATATAGACAAGCCTGATGCATTTTGGAAACAAGTTCTGTGGACCGATGAGGTTAAAATAGAACTTTTTGGCCAGAACTTCTGTCCAGCTGTTAAGCATGGAGGTGGATCAATCATGCTTTGGGGTTGTATTGCAGCCAGTGGCACAGGGAACATTTCACGAGAGGAAGGAGAAATGGATTCAATAAAGTTCAGCAAATTTTGGATGGTGACTTGATGCCATTTGTGAAAAAGCTGAAGTTAAAGAGAGGATGGCTCCTACAAATGGATAATGATCCTAAACACACCTCAAAATCCACAGTGGATTACATCAAGAGGTGTAAACTGAAGGTTTTGCAATGGCTTTTACAATCTCCTGACCTCAACATTATTGAAAATCTATGGACAGACCTTAAAAGAGCAGTGCGTGACAGACAGCCCAGAAATCTCAAAGAACTGGAAGACTTTTGTAAGGAAGAATGGGCAAAGATACATCAATCAAGAATTGAAAGACTCTTGGCTGGCTACAGAAAACATTTACAAGCTGTGATACTTGCCAAAGGGGGCAGTACAAGATATTAACTCTGCAGGGTGCCCAAACTTTTGTAGACGCCATTGTTTTTTTTTTTTTTTTTTTTTTTTGTTATTTTGAAAGTGTAAATGATGGAAATTAAAGCTAACTTTTTTTGACATATTAAAAGAATGTCTACTCTGTAATTTGATGCCTTTTCGATATTTATCCATCTTACCTTGGCTTCTTTATGCACATTAATACAAATTTTTATCTAGGGTGCCCAAACTTTCGATCCCCACTGTATGTTAGAGAGCTTAAAGCTTAATATAGAAAGTTGGATAACCCTTCCGTCTATGGTAGGACACATGAATGCAATCAAAATGGCAACATTGCCAAGATTTCTATATCTTTTCCAAAACCCTCCAATTCTTTTGCCCAAAATGTTTTTGTTTTTTTGACTCTTGATTTGATTGTATTACCATTTGTGTTGGGCTTTAAGGCGCACCGTATCACTAAACTACACGTAGGTAAACTTAGGTCACAGGACGGATTAGGCCTGCCAAACTTCCAGTATTATTATTGTGCTGCAAACTACAGAGCCTTATCCTACTGGAAAAAAATCTCATGCTGCAGGGTCTGCAGGTGACATTCCATCTAGGCTCACCATTAAACAGAGTGTTACAAACTACTCTCTTTCCTCTCTACTTTTTGCGGCGCCTTTACCATTGATAAAAGTAGTCAACACAAACTTTATACTTAGTAGCTCTCTCAAAATATGGTGTCAGATCCGGAAAGCATTTAAACTGCATCTACCACATTGTCCACCCCTATTGCTCATAACCATGTCTTTAAGCTATCACTCAATGACTTCACATTTTCAAATCGGTCCAGTAAAGAAATGGTCACTGTAAAACACTTGTACATGGATGATGAATTTGCTACATTCCCTCAGCTCACTGCAAAAAATGCTTTTCTTACTCAGATTTTTTGTCTTGTTTCTAGTCCAAATATCTGAAAATTCCTAAATCAAGAAGACTTTTCTAGACAAGCAAAACATATTGTCTTGTTTTGAGAAATTATATGCCAATAATAAGTGAGTTTTTCCTTAAAACAAGCAAAATTGCTTGTCTTGAAAATGTTTCTTGATATAAGAAATTTTAGATATTTAGACTAGAAACAAGACAAAAAATCTAAGCAAGAAAAGCATTTTTTGCAGTGGCTGAAACAAAAATGTGATCTTTTACTTTTACAATCTTTTTAGATATCTACAGCTGATAAACTATGTTTGTACATCTATCCCCCGCTTTGAACTATTAGAAGATGAACAAGATGTATATAAATTACTTTCTGCCTCTCCTGATGCCTCTAATTTGATTTGCCATTTTATAGACATTTCTTTACTGATCAGTTTGACACCTTTGCCTACCTTGTACTGTATTGGGTCGTGGGTTCAGTTGTAAGAATGGGTTTTAAACCACAGGGGTTTGAACTGTAGTTCTGCTGAGTGACTAAAAAGTTATCAGTAATGATGGTAAAAAAAACTGTACATTTCTAGTCAGACCATTCTTCTGCAATCTCATACCAAAAACGGAAATAAGGGCAGTATTGATAGCTATAAATGTGGGAGAGCGTTGATATTATGTGATTGTATTGTATTGCTATATGGAGCAATTAAATGTTGATGTTTAATCAAAAGTAATTCACAAATACTTGAAAATGAGATGATTTAATGACAATAATTCTGTGGTTACAACTGAATGAATTACAAAATAACTGCATAAAATGATCAAATATGAAATGATAAAACATATGATATAAATTGTATTCAGCTTAAATGTAAAATTAACCAGAGGTAGAAGTAGAGACACAGGGGGAGGGAGAGAGAGACAAAGAGAGCAAGTAGGCCTCAAAGAGTCAGAGAAGATAGACTCCAGCGGAGGAGAGAAGCAGAGCAGGAAAGACAGGCCAGGAAAAGAGAGGGCAGGAAAAAGAGCCAGAGCCAGAGTTTACCACCTATTTTGTATCTTTCTTGATCATGTTACTAAAGCCAAAATGCTGAGACATTCAAACTGACCTATCAACATGTGACCACACCATAAAACCCTATAAAAGTCAACACATCAGGCCCTGATCTTATTAGTATATGCCTTTGGAGTCAGTATGGACCTTCTTGAGTCAAAAAGATACGTTTCGTCATATAAACAAATGCATATGATAATTTAGCCTCTTACAATCCTCCCCTCGCATCGTTGTGACACATAAAGAGGCAAAAAGGTGACATTCATGATGAAAATATGCATTGTGTTGAGTGCTGCTGTTATCTTCTGACTTCCTGTCCAGGCTGGTTGTCGGAATTAGATTGGTCAGTCTTTGTTGTCCTTCAGCCCTGTGTGAGAGGCTTTAATTGAATGGTGTTGCATTGCAAATTTTCCTTCATACCCCCACAAGAATAGGTGCTGAGGAATGCAGGGAACCCCTGCTCTTCTTTTGAAGTTGATCACAAGACGTGAACCTTTTCTCCATGGATCCTGAATTGGAAAACAGCAAACGGCACAACAAACAGCAAAAGCAATCACATGGCATTTGTCATTGATCAAATGATTGATGTGGTCAGTTTGAGTTCTCCTCAAGCAAAATTTCCTTAAATGAATGTAATTAAAATATGGTCAAAATTAAGACAAAATAAAAGCAAACAAGCTCTTTACACAATATCTGGAAACATCAAAAATAATTGCTTTACAACAAAATCAACAATAGCTGGTTAAGAGTTTCAGCAAAAATATTTAGTGTAACCAAATACAGTGAATTAAATGAATCAATATTTAAAGACAATCACAACTGCATTTAGATGGATTAAATATAAAGTAAACACAAATAACATTTGTTGTAGAGAAATCAATGTTACAAAAGCAACAACAATTCAGCATTTTTAGATTTAAAATCCTAATT